TATTATCTCAATGTTCTATTCGTGGCTTGAACACTGTCCCGTTTTCATAAAAATGGCAGTAGGTACTTGAATCAGCTCATTCATGTGGTTAATAAAAGTAAAATTAGGTTTACACTTCGGTAACAAACCGTCATACATTTGGATGAATTTAGAGAATCCACATATCGATAAGCAATGCTTAGTTGCGCTGAGCGCTTCCGATTATCGTAAAGAATCCATTTTTCATCACAGGTAATGATTCGGTTTAAAATACCTTCATTATTGTGCCGGTTCAGTAATGTAACGCAGCAGTCGACGCGCGTTTGCCGGTTTGCTTCAGTCAATTCGTGAGGTACCCATCTTTCAAGCTTTTTTAATCTTCCCAATTTGCTTCAAGTGAATTAAAACAGTTTTATCACTAACACCGCAGCCTGCAGCTAACTCGGACGTGGTTTGCGATGGATCCGCTTCCACAAGAGCCTTCATATTATCAACTTGGGTCTCAGGCCGTCCACGGGGCTTGTTCTGCAGGTCGAAATTTTCAGAACGAAAACATTGGAACCAAAAACGAACTGTGTTTTCTTTTGCAACATGACCGCCATACACATCATTCACCCTTCGAGTCGTTTCCGCAGCACTAGTGCCACGGCGGAACTCGTACTCGTAAATAATGCGATACTTTAAGTTTTCCATTTTGTAAAATGAGTGACGCAAACAGAAAAAAACAAATGAATGACGGTTATCGAAGCACAAACACATGAGTAAATAGCTGTACAAATTTGAATTTGGAATTCCTTACCAAAGAGGAGAACATCGTGATTAAAGTGGCCAGTACGAAATACGCCAATTTCATATGTAAGGACCTAATATTAGTCAGTCACGAGTTATTTTTAAATTACGATATTTGTATACCATTTTTTTTAAATAAAACTATAAACTAACTAAACATAACAATCAAAATACAGTATTTACAATTTTGTTACCCTAAATAGTATAAATTAAAATAATTAAAACAAATTTAAAAAGTACAGGCTACGTGACTTTTGCGTAACTTTCATTGTTTTTAGAGCACACGCACAGTTCTCAAAAAGGAATAATTTTTCTCGTTCTTAAGACGTCGCCTGTAGTCGTTCTCAATAAATGAACCATGAAAAACAAAAATAATGCTTTGACTTTGCTTGCTTTTCTCTCACAGTGAGTTTTTTACGTAAATCAGTGTTATCTCGATTCGTGTAATAAGTACGTATCGATGCGTATCCAATTATGTATTTAATAAATTTTCAAGTACTGATAGCCAATCAATCTAATATTTACCTACGACAGTGATTTTAATAGAAACCAAATTTGTCTAACTAGAACACCTATACAAAATTATTATGTGAATTAATTTAAAACTGATTGTAAACATTATTTATATAACATAGTAGGTATACTACGTGAACTTCCATTAAAATAAAATTTAATAGACAGAAAGTCAACAAGAATACAAGTGGGCCTCGCAGCCAGGTGTTGACATGCCTTAGGTCCTATGACCCCCAAGTGGGGTGTAGTGTCAGTAAGGCCAATATTTTTTTATTTTTGTAAAGAGAGTTTGGTAATGTAATTCTGGCAATCCAAAGTTCCTATCGTGTGTAGGGGGATGATTACTCACAAGTTCCAATGTAAGCACAAAATCGGTTTTAGAGTAAATCAGGTGCGAATGTGCGGTGCCATCAAACCCCCACGCGGACAGTACATTGGTGTGACTGCAGTATCGTATTACATATAAGGGTATATAGGTAGATTGAAAACATCTGTAGCCAATCGCAGTAGTGAAACAAAAAAACCTTTTTCTTTAGCATAATGATACGTGCCATCCGAATTAATTAAATCCTGCTGATGTTATAGGTATCTACGGGAATTCAAGCTAAAAATATAAATATTAATTTGTGGCAGCTAGGTCCTGAAATGGCCTGTTTTAAAAGATTTTGATTCAAATAGTATACCTAAATTAAGGTTAATTCGGGTGTAATTAAAGAACCATTGATTTTACTAGGTACTCTTCATTGACTTCATTACAGAGAACAGTTTCATATTTTCTTCGATCCATACTTATTATAGAAAATAACACTACTAAAGCCTAGGTGCACTATCAACTAGCGAATTGAGTAACGCCAGGAACAGGTTATGTATTGAATATGAATTAAGTAGTATCAAACGCAAAACGGAGTACCGTTTCTGGATTACAATACAATACGAGTTGGCGGACGTTTTGATGCATCAAATTATTACGTTTACGAAATAAAGCATCCAACAAATAATCTTACATAGTACCAACCGCTTTACTCAATTCTATTTTGAGCAAGAGCATGAGCATATGCATTGGGTTGAGATGCAGAGAGGTTGTCTGGCCAGTGGGCAAACTCTTCAACCTACAATGGGATATCCCATGTATTGTCTGATAACGGTACAATTTTTGTAGCAACGGCACGGGAATAAGGTTTATTTATGAAACAAAATAAAGATTCTGTTTGAGTTTGCAAGTCAACAATCTATTAAAGATCAGTTACATTGGCTTATTCTCAATAAGGTGATTTTGAGAGCTAAAATAGTCCATCCCATAATGCGGTATTCTTTTACTAATTTCTTCAGTCTTTCTTAAATTTAGGCTTGTGTTTGTACGAACTAAGCTAAATGTATCAGTGAAAAACCTACTTTTTTCAGATTGCCCTCATTCGCTTATTTGTTATTAGTTGTTGTTATTTTTGTTTTTACTCTTTTATTATAATAAACATATTATAGAATAGTTCTTACACTACTTGTACTGTTCCTGGGTCATCGGGGTGCTTTAAATAATAGAGGATTTTAGTTTTACTCTATATTAACCACTCGCGTACAACAATAGAATATAAGCGAAATATTGCAATGTTAATTGATATGTATGGAATGACTGCAATGTTGTCGAAGAGACTGCCTACTTCTGGCGTAACTTCGACGACTTTATAAGGAAATCGCCACGTTTATAAAATAAAGAAAGCCTGAGTGAGCAAAATGTACAGCCTTGACTCGTACAGGATCTACTTATTTAATAAATCTAAAGATACTAACATGTTAGTTTCTACGTCGCAAGGACACATTCACGTCACTCTTTCATGAGAGATTTCATCTCAGCAGATTACAAAACTTTTTCTGTGGGACCATTCCTCACCTTAATCGTGCCGCGCGCCTCGCTGGTCGGCACGGTCCACTGAGGGAGGAGCTACATCGCCTCTTTCGGGTTCTTTGAAGTCGAAGGGAAAAATCAAACCGAACCGAAAATTTCGAAACTTATTTCGGGATTATCATTATAAATAAAACACACCTTACATTTAGCAAGAGTTTAATAAAAAAATGCAAAATAAAATATTTCCAAATATTAGGACTTATCACTAGGGTTATAAGGTTATAAGGTGTACGAATTGTACGATCATACAAAAATACAAAACTACACGCATTCAATTCACTATTGACATTCTTTATTCATAACACTATCTCGGATCAAAAATAAAAGCAGAACAAACACTGAAGCCGTTTTACTTTCATTCCGTGACGAGAACAAGTTTTAATATTTCAAATATATCGTTATTTATTAAATATTTGCTACTTCGTTTCGTAATCTTGTTCTTTAATATCATTACAAAGTCACCAGTGTTTATTTTTCTCGGGGCTTACCGATTTTTTAATGCACAAAAACGGTTGGCACGAATTTAAACAACATTTGATTGGAGCGATATTGTCTTGTCACAACTCAGTGGATTTTGTTTTGTGCTATTATTTTGCGCTGCGAACTTAAATTATAATGAGCGAGGTCAACAAACCCATTTCATCGAAGTGAGCATATTTTATGTACCTTCAATGTGCCTTCGTCCTAGGAACACAACACTTCGCGGTACTTGAAAATCATCTTTCAAAGTGAGCTCGAGAGCGTGCTCGGCTCGTAACTTGACGAAATCGACAGTTAAATAACCAAGGCAGAACTTGATATGTTATAATTAAGAGTATTCTTCACTCACAATGTTAAATAAAAAATAATAAATTGGTGCGTGAAGTTTCTTACTGTGTCGAGTGACGTCACTAATCGTGGCGAAGCTGGCGACGATCGATATTATTGATAAAATAATGTTTCGTTTAGTCTCTAAACAATTCTGTATTTGTCCACAAAAACGCTATCACTAAGTAATATCGATCGTCGAACCGATCACACCGAACAAAGTTAAAGCAATGTAAAGCTTAATTCGACGAAAATAATACAATTGAAAATATCATACGTTTTACTTTTGACTAGCGAATAAAATACTCTATACATAAGTTTTAAGTAATGCGAAAGCCTAGGTACCCGTCCCCCTCTCGCGCACCCTGACGCCCCGGCGCGGCGCGGGTGCGAGAGAGAAAGGAAGCTTTTTACAAATAGCTACTCGATAGAGCGCGGTTCCGGCTCGGTCTCGTCAAAGCTAATCTGACTCCCGAGTACAGCGCAATTTTTTGCAGCAAATTCATTATATTCGAATTCATTCATTAAAAAATAATAATAACTATCAAAAAATTGCCTCTAATAGAAATTTTTCGAGAAAATTCTTTGGCATTTTGAGCAAAACGTGACGTGTAACTATGTTATGTTCGTAAAATATCGATATAAAAAGTGCTAAGATTTCGTCGATATTTCAGAACGTCCGGCGCCGACGCTTTCGTTTCGACGTTTACTTAAAAATCTATGAAATATTGAAACGGCGACTGTCACTCGAAGATCAATTCCTTAAAATCGAAAGTCCTACATTTTCTTACCTACCTCTAAGTTTACGTAAGTATTTGGATAGTTCGATAAATGGTCGAACGGCAGCCGTAGGAATGTAATGAGAGGTGAGGCTTCTTAAGGATAAAAACTACGATATTATACGATTCGTGTTTTATAGGGCACGATATTGAGACGATATCGAAACGAGACTCGTTCCGTCGACGCCGTCGAAGGGCGGCCGAGGCCGAGGTCGACCGGGTCGAAGAGAGCCTCACTGCTCCCACTCCGAGTCGTCGACGCCCTCCATGGCGTCCTGCTCCAGCTTCAGGTTGACGGTCACTCTGGCGCTCATCGATTTCATTATCTGAAAGCACGAGCGGGCGGTGAGCGCGGCGAAGGCCGAGGGCGCGCCGGCCTCGCCCTCTCGGGTACTCACGCTGTTCTGCTTTTCCTTGGCGTCGAGCGGGACGTGCGCCTCGACGAGGTCCGGCTTCGGCTTCCCCTTGGGCGCGGCCGGCGGCGCCGCGCGGGCCGACAGCGGCTCCATGCCCGGCGGCTGCAGGCTCGCCACCTCGGGCGTCGCGGGTCGCCTCTCGAGCCATCGGCGCCCCGTCTGCCAGCTCCGCCACGTCACGAGCGTGGGAGGAAACAGGTCGTCTTGGAACAGCTCGCTCTGAAACCGAGTCGGGCGTTCGATCGTCGTCCGAGAGGAACGGAGGAAGATCGAACCGGGCTCACCTTGATCCTCGGCACCGTGAAGGACAGCGGCTCCACGTTTCCGTTCGTCAGGCGAAGCGCTCTCGCGAATTCCACCTGCGGAAGTTCGTTCAAAGTTATCTAGTCTCGTACAATAACAATATTCTATTAAAGATTCGTCGTTTCTATACGTAGAAAAAACGTGAACGTGAATAACTATTTCTTCTTCTCGCTGCAAAATATTTGGGATATTGCCAAACGACGCTCCAAAAAGGTTCCTCTCTCTCTCTCGAAGCGTTCCGATCGTTTCGTTCTCACCTTTTCGACGGCCAGCGCGTTCTTTTGCAAGAAACAGATTCCTTGATGCAGCGACGAGGAGCGATGGTGCGACAGAGCGCACAGGAAGGGCGGCTCCGGAGTCACCTCGTAGCAATATATGGTCGAGTCGCCCTGCGAAGGAGTCGGGACGATGAGCGGGACGTCGCGAGGAGAGGTCGACGATCGCGAGAGGAAATCTCACCCGGCCCGTCAGGAACAGAGTGCCGGAGTCGTGGTCGATGTGCGTCAGCAGAATCGCCGGCGAGACGTCCAGGCCGACCGTGCAGACGGGCGCCGATAGGTCGGCGGCCTTGTACAGCAGGATCTGGCGCTCGGACACCCTGAAACACGTCGACCGTGAGAGCTCGGCGGCGCCCGGCGAGCGAGATTCGAAATCGGCGCTCCGCCCGACTCACTTGTCGAAGCCCGTGACCACGAGGTGCGAGTCCCGCAGCGCCCACACGAGCCGCGCCCCTCGGCCGCCCGCGGCGCTCCGGCCCCGGCGCAGCGGCTCGCTCGACGCCCGCGGCTCGTAAATCTGCGAAAGATCGGCGACACGTCACGCGCTAACCGCTTCTCCGGGGGCCGTCGGGGGCCGACCGCCCCGTCACTCACCCTGACGTAGCCGTCCCGGCAGACGGTCGCGAGGTACTCGCCGTACTGCGACCAGGCGAGCGCGAAGATCTGGTCGGCGTGGCCGGCGAGCGTGATGGCCGCCGTCGGCGGCTCGGCGGCGAGGTCCCAGATCTTCACCGAGTGGTCGTGCGCGGCGGTGGCCAACAGGTCGGAGGCGGTCGGGTGGAAGCGGATCGCGTAGATCTTGTCCGCGTGCGCGGCGAACGTCCGCTCGGGTTCGCTCGTCGGGGCGGTCAGGCCGCCGTCGGGCACGATCCACTCGCGGATCGCGCCGTCGTCGCAGGCGACGAGGAGGCGCTCCGGCCGGAAGGGGTCGAAGGCGAAGTCCTGCAGGGCCGCCGGGTGCAGCAGGGCGGGCGGGTGCAGGCCGGCGGGGTGCGAGGGCGGCGCCGTGGCGAAGGGCGTGGCACCCGTCGGCAGCTCCACGACGGCCACCCGGCCGCCGCCGGCGCCGGCGCTCACCGGGACGGCGCAGCGGACGGCGTTCGCTGGAGGAGATTCTCCGATCAGTCGGATTCGTCTCGGACGCGGCGGGATGTCGAGCGGAGGGGAACTCACCGCAGAATCCGTCGCACTCCCCGGAGATCTGTCGGCTGACGTTCTTGATGTTCTCGACGTGGGTCGACTTGTGCCCCGGCGTGCCCTTCAGGTGACGGAACTTGGACACTTTACCTGGAAAAGATTTTCCAAAAGTTACGGACGTATTTAGTTCTCGACCCTCACGTTTTATGTTCTTTTCGGTCGGTTAGATCTAAAATCGAATTAAATAATATTAAGTTAATAATAATATATTAGCATCGGTTTGTATTTTTTTACTTCCCCGAAGCCCGAACGGATAATCGAACTCACCGAAAACGGTCGAAGTGCGTTTGGTGGCGACGTTCGGAACGGACGAACGTTTCTCCTCTCGATCTGGACTCTTGCGAGACTTCAAGGAGTCCCTTCGCCTGTAAAACGGGACAATGAAATAGCGCGAAGAGTAGAGCCTACGAGGCGGGGAAGGAGAGAGGGTCGCACCTGAGCGGGGCGGGCGAGAGAGGCGCCTCCGCCTCGGGCGCGGAGCTCAGGGAGCGCACTTCGTAGGCTCGACGCCGATCCGCGATCGACTTCACTCCGCTGAAACGACGCAAGCGAAGGGAATTAGGTCAGAACCGATATCGAAACGAGAGAGACGCAAAAATTTCTCACTCCGTGGTCTCGAAGAGGCGGCGTCGGTCGGCGGTGGTCGGCGTCTTGGGTCCGGGTCCACCTTCCGAGCCCTCGAGATCTTCTTCGACGCTCGCGTCGGATTTGCCGTTCGTGTACTCCTCTGAAACAGAGCATCGGTTGTAGACCGTTCCGGTCACCGAGGAAGACTGCGGTGCGTCGAGCCGACGGGGCCCTCCGACTGACCTTTGGGCGCGACTTCCGCGTCGGCGGCGGGAGAGAGAGACTTCTCGCTGTCGGCCTCACGGAAGACGGGAGGCGCCGTCGCCGGAGAGCTCGAAATCGGCGCCGACCCCGGCGGAGTGGCTGCGAGTGAGATTCGATCAATGAAAAGGGAGAAGGTCGGCGGGTTCGTCCGATGACACACTACTTACAGGAATCGCTCTTGTTGACTCCGGGAACGGCCGGCACGGAGAATACTCTGTCGAAGGAAAACTCTTCGATTCCCGTCGAGGCCGAAAAGGGTTTCGGGCCGAGGCGGGGCTGAAATAGTCAAGTATAAATTAATCGACACAATAGCAATGGTATTGAAATGGCGGGATGATAAGTTCTCTGCTCCCTCAGACTGCGTAGCGTTGATAATACTGGTAGCGAACAGCCGACGTTCAGTATTCAAAGGCGCTGGTTTTTGGCATAAAACAAATATATTTAAACAACTGCTCTACTCGCGACTAAAGTACCTTGTAGCCCGAAACGGGCGCCGCCGTAGTCCTGGGTTTCGGTTTGGGCGCTTCACCGTCGTCTGTGGCCGAGCCGGCCTCCGATATGGAAGACCTCGGCAGAGGTTTCGGGGCTTGGATCCCGTTCATTGAGCTTTCGCTCGACTCCGAATCCGTCTTATCTAAGCTATCTCTTTTCGAATCTTCTTTTTCCTCGTGCCCGTTACTTTTCTTAAGGAATCCGTTTTCCTTCGAGTGTTCTTTCGGCTCGGTCTTTTGCTTCTCCATGCCTTTGATCATGTCTTTGACGTTTACGAAATCTATTCTGTCGTCTTCTTTGTCGGGGGTCGCGATCGGTGGCTCGGGCGGTTTTGCGTCTGCGTGTGTTTGCGTTACTATTTTTTTATCACTTTTCTTTTGGATCGGCATCGCTAGTATTTTTTTCACTAACTCTTCCAAATCGCCACGGTGTACCTGCCGTGAATTTCATATTAAATAGCGGACACTCATTATAATATTAATATAAATTGACAAACTAATTAAGCATTACTTACGCAACCAAAACACCAAAAAATATCACTAGCTACGATACGAGACAGTCACAAAAACCACTAAAATAACTACTGGCACGCACAAAATAAAAACAAACAAAAAACACAACACACGTAACATAACACAAAAACATAACTAGCATTACCGTAGGAGATGGAGCAGTAAATATTGATAGAGCGGATCTCTCGTAAAACGAAAACTACAACTAAAAATATTCGAGGATACACAAATAGTTGGCGATTGGGGATAGATTCCAAGGGAATAGAGTCTCCTCCTAAATCCGAGCCGAGCGACTTACACACCTGCGTACAGTTGTTGGCTTCCGGATGCAAGGATATGGCGGGCACGGGATGGTCCAGCCCGTCGAGCCACATGGGCGCGCTGAGGAAGGTGGCGGCGCCGCAGGTGTCCGGGTAGAGGTCGGCGTGGTATTCCCGGTAGCTCTGTAATCATCGAGCCATAGTGAGTGTGCTAGATTGACGGGCGACCTTACGCTGCGATCGGCGAGAGAAGGCCTACCTTTCTGGGCACTTGATACATGATGGGCACGACGCACGAGCCCGTGAGCTGCATGACTCGGTTCACCTCGCCCTCCATGACGCGCAGCGCGCGCTTCGGCACCAGGCACGCCCCTTTCGTCTGTTCACCTGTTTCGGCGAAACCGATTAAAGGAACGTTCGGCTGACGGAGAGCTAAAAAAACGATACCCGTTCCACTCACCCGAGTGCCGCAAGCCTTCGATTAGGTACGGCTCCTTGTCCGTCAACTCCATGTACAAAATGGTCGTGTCGCCCTTTCCGGCGAGGAAAAGCATGTTCGTGTCGGGATCGAACAGCGGCATAAGCACTCCCGTCGAACAATCCAGCTCCAACGTCTTCTGCGCTTGCGTTAGATTTCGAACGTCGCGAATCATGATTTGACGTAAACGAGCCGAGTCGAAGCCTGAAAACGACCCGACACTGTAATGTCGCCGGAACTTTCGCGGGAGAGGTCTGAGATTTTTTGAAGTTATGAAAAATTTATGAGAGTGAAATTTTACGATGCGCGCGCACCGTGACACAAAATTAACAGAATGAAGTTGCCCACGGAAGATGCTACGGCATTGGACATAATTTAAAAACAACATTCGAATAATAATAGAATTTATGTCACACTTAATGTAAGAGAATAATAATAATTATTTAATTTTTCAAATGTAAACTGAACTTTATTGACTATAATGACTTCTTTTCCAGTATTTGATTATTTAATTGTAATTAATTATTTGCATGCAATCATTGATATACAAAAAACCCAAGATGCACAGTCTCGAATAAAAGTAACGCTCGAAAGTGTCCCGAAACACTATTTCTGTCCATAACAGTATATGTTACAAGCATATATTATTGCAAAATCAACCTTACGCGAATTGCTTAAAGTTGTTATTACAACGCAGTGTATACGTACTTAAAGCAATAAAATTTTACGACCGACCGTGGTCGGTAGGACAAGGTATTGAGTGGAGTCGAACATGACTTTTTTATTTACAACTATTTAACATAATTTTAAATTTATCCGACTTTTCGGGTGCTTTACAGCGTGAGTGGTCACGGTGACTGAAGACAAAAGGTGTTGGATGTTAAATAGTTGTAAATTAATAATAATACATAACATTAATCCGGTTAAAAAGTTTTTTCTTTAAATTAAAAAAAAATGTTAAATTGGCTACCTCCTGACCCACACTTTATATAGCGTAAATATATTTGTCAAAAACTACACACAAAAAAGTTCAAGAGTACATAAATTTATTTATAAAAAAAACACAAATAAATAACATCGACTCCACTTATAGACGCGAGACTATTTGAAATGAGCGCACAATTTAGAATGTTGCGCTCATTTTTTGAGGACGTTTTTTAGACGTTGATTGTGCATCTTGGGTTTTTGTATATCAATGCATGCAATCAAAAACTATTTTTAATAATGCCAAAGAAGTATAACTTCTTACGCGCGTAAATAAGTACACGCACCCTTTTTTTTATACGTTGCAATAGGTAACAGTGCAATCTCTCTTGCAAGAAAAACGAGAACTTTATTTATATACATATATATAATTTTTTTTTCTCTACTTCAATGAATATTACAAGAAAGAGTTTTCATTAATTTGACGATGTATTGGCATGATTGTTATCGTTCCTAATTTTAAATTAACAAAATAAAAAAAAAATGTCGCGAACTGCTGAAACGATTTTTAACTGACTCTAAAATTATAAAAGTTTTCTGATTTTATTCTGCAAATTATTTTTTTTTTATAAAAGCCGGTAAAATTACAGCATTTTTTAATTATTTTTAAGACGACAATATTTAATCAAAAGAGTTTATTATCTATACTAATATTATAAAGAGGAAAGATTTGATTTTTTGTTTGTTTGAAATGAATAGGCTCCGAAACTACTACACCGATTTCAAAAATTCTTTCACCGTTGGCAAGCTACACTATTCCCGAGTGACATAGGCTATGTTTCATTTTCAAAAAAATAGGGATGCTTACTAAAACTTGAATAATCTAACCCAAGGTGTAAAAAAATAAACAAAAAACTTCCTTCAATCGCGTGCGCTGCGAAAACTATTAATGATAGAACAAAATGATGTATTTCAATTTTTCAGGGCACATCACTATCTATAAAAAATGTCGCGACAGCATGTCTCTATCTTTTATAGTTACGTCACACTAAGCGTCCTTTTATTATTTTTTTTTAATTAAAATACCACCGCTATAAAAAGCTCTTTATTCGTACCTAGGTATTGATTCTTATCAAAATAAATACCAACGTTTCACATAAGCTACAATTTAATGGCATAACCACCAAAAAAACATGGTGGATTGGTGTTCTCCTGCCGTTTCTCTTGAATAGTTTACTACTATGTAATATAACCAAAATCTTAGCCACAGCAACGCTTGGCCGAGTCTACTATAGTCGAATTTTTAATTAGACGAAGCTATCTGACAGTAGCTAATGTCACTTAGTAAAATAATGTTGCCACATTTAAAGTAATAGTGATACATTCAGTTCTTGTTCAATCAGATGAATGAACAATGAGTGAGTGTGAATAGTTAATCATTTCAAACTATAAAATAATATTATTACTATTTTAAAATTGTATAAAAGATTTCTGATATAAGTTAGGTACTAGTAGTATGTAACTACAATCAGTTTTTTGACGGCTGTAATACAGAGCGCGGCGAGGCGACTAGTGCCAACACCGATCGACGCCGCGCGCGTCGGTCGCCATTTTGTTTGTCATTCGGCTTCTAACCTCTGGTCTGATAGCACGAATGTTTTTTCTGCGCTCACGCTGTTTAGTTATAGTTTTTGTTAAGTTTTTCATTACGTTGTGTTTGTGGTTATTGTTGTGTTTTTTTATTTCTATATTGTTTCGTAAAAACGATATGGATCCTCAACTAAGCACGTCAAGCCAAAGCTTGTCTCCAAGAAAGAAGAGACCACGGATTGCTTTAAGCGTTACCGAAAAAGTTATGATACAAAACGTCTACAAACACGTATTTGAGGAGAAAGCTGCTTTACTATTACCTATTGAGGCTCCCGAAAAAAAGAATGTGTTTCGAAAACAGCTGACATTTTGGGAATTAGCGTGACCTCAGTTTACAGTGTATTAAAAGAATACAAAGAAAATGAACAATTTAAGTCTCCCGAGAAACGTGGACCGAAACACAATTTCAAAGATAAATTAGACGATTTTACTTTGGCCGCTATAAGGCGAAAAGTTCATAATTTTTTTTATGCAAATGAGTCACCCACCATTATAAAGGTAACAAACTTTATTCCATCGACTGCATTATATTCTGTGTCCACAATAATGATCTTTGTAAAACCAAAGTATTAGATTGCGTAGACTTCCTTACTCAAAAACGTTTTTTTATTACTTCACAGATTCTTAAGGTTGTCAATGAAGACCCAGACTTACCCAATTTTTCTTGGAGTACATTAAGAAATGTTATGAAACATTTAAATTTCAAATATGTCACAAAATCAAGAAAAAGCATGTTAATTGACAGACAGGACATTATGTTATGGCGCCAGCGATACCTTCGCAAAATTAAAGAGTATCGAAGGGAAGGAAGGTATATTTATTACCAAGATGAAACCTGGATCAACGAAGGTAATTACAATTTTCTGTTTTCTTTACATTAAATTGTACTTTCATTAACTAATTGTTATTTTTCATTATCTTGTAGGTCATGCACCGAAGAAGGCATGGATTGACCAGACAGTGTTATCGACTCGCCAGGCCTTCCTAGATGGCCTGACTACTGGCTTAAAACAGCCTTCAGGAAAGGGCAAACGATTAATTATCGGCCACATAGGTGGGGAAGAAGGATTCGTAGAAGACAGCTTACTAATATTTGAAGCCAAAAAAAGTAAAGAAGACTATCATCAAGAAATGAATGCCGATTCCTTTGAGAAGTGGTTTAGTGGAGTCTTGCCAAAACTAAAACCAAATTCCGTTGTAGTGCTAGATAATGCCCCCTACCACTCCAGGAAACTAGAATCGCTGCCTAAAATGTCTTGGACTAAACCTAAAATACAAGAGTGGCTAACGAGCAAAAATATTTCATTCGAAGCAACAATGGTTAAAGCTACTCTTATAGACATTGTACGGCAGCACAAACAAGATCATTTCGAAAAGTATGTTGTGGACGAGATAGCAGCGCAGCATGAGATAATTGTTTTACGTCTGCCCCCATACCACTGTGAGCTTAATCCCATTGAGTTGGTATGGGCGCAGGCTAAAGGATATGTTGCAAAAAATAATAAAACCTTCAAAATGACAGAAGTAAAAAAACTTTTTGAAGAAGGACTTAAACTAATCACACCTGATAAATGGCGTAGCTGCGTGTCTCACATAATGAAAGAAGAAGATAAAATGTATGGTATCGACGACATGATCGACAATGTTTCAGACAGATTTATTATTAATGTCACCGAAAGCGATAGTGATGATTTTTTATCTGATGATGAATAAAAACAAATTATGTAATAAGCGATGTTTATTATTTTCATTACCAACCTATAATTGTTATATTATTAAACATCTATAGTATAAACTACATGATATATTGAGAATAGGACAGTCTTACAAGTTTCCTCGCAATGATTTCCTTAATGTTAAAAACAATTGGTATTTAGTACTAAACTCGTTGGTATGTTCAAAGCACGACTAAAATTCGAACCCGTATCCGATATCGGCAGTACGCAACGTTAACTATTCACTAGGCAATCGAGGCAATTTTATTAATTCAGGAGTTTTTTCAATCATTCACAAATCATGTGACAAACACAACACTATTTTTATTTCATTAAAAACTGACAACACCGTAAACGTCAGTTGATATCGTCTAATTAAAAATTCGACTATAGTAATATATATAAACGCCATTTTTTTTAAATCTAAATATTTTGAAAATATAGTAGGTTGGTTGTTTCTCGCTGACGGTATAATATTTCTACAGAATGTTTCAAATCCTTACTCTTTAGGTATAATTTATTTCTATTTCTAACACAAAAAAAGTACAATTAAAATAATTTAAAAAAATGGAGGGCAACTGGCGGCCGTATCGCTTTCGAGCGATCTCTTCCAGCAAACCACTGTGAGAAAATGAAATTAGATAGCGCAATAAGTGCAAAACTACATAATACATACGACATAAGACAATTAGATAAAACTAATGGAATAAACCAAGCATAATCTTAGTATTATACTATTTAAATTAGTCTAAGATCCATTTCGGAATCGCTTCTCAAACTCGTCAAAACTAGAATAAGAATTTCAAGCGATTTCAAGTTAAGCTTAAGAAAAAAATAACTAAGTACAGTAGTATTTCGCGTCATCCCTGTGCGTGTTGAAATTTGTGTTATATGTGTGTATTTTGGCAATTTTGTCAAAATTTAAAGGAAACAAACTAGTTACTATGAATTGCAGAACTAATAAATGACGGTCGAGTATCAAGCTCATAACAAAAAGCTATGCAGTAGTTACGTAGTCATTTCATTCGCAATCACAATGGCGCCTCGAACGGCTGACGTTACGAACGGACGTTACATCTTTCTCGTATCAATTCATATTTCATTATCAGGCAATGACTCGACCGTCTAACGAATACTAACAGTATATAATCTCTCGTTACCAATAATTTGTTCAACATTTATTTGAGAATTAATGCAAATATTTAGTGAGTATAAAAAAAGAAAGTTCAAAGATGGACATACCGGTGGTTAGTACTCGATCGCTATCGCCGAGCCAAACGAGGCGGCTGTCCTTAATGTTCTGATGACTGTTTGCGACGCTCAGAACTGGACTCTCGACGCGAGGATCCAGGATTCGGACTTTCTTGTCTTTGCACGATGTGGCGACCAATTTGCCGTCTTTCTTCCACGAAGTAGATTGAATGACTTCCGTATGATCTCTGTTAACTGTGAATTAATTAATTATTAGTAAATTAAGAAAGAAATTAAATCTCTAAAGCGGCGATACGAGGATGTAACCGAGACTACTGAATGGAAGCTTAGCGAAATAACTCAAACTCAAATCTTTATTGCATTCCTTATGTACATAATTTATTACAATAAGGACCTTGGTTAGGCACAGCAATGTTGTGAGAGGGCATGCTTTATTATAGTTAATTATATTCTTATACATTTTTATTCTTATAAGATACATTATTTATTTGGTTTCACGTTGCGAAAAGGTACTTAACATTATTAATAAACTTAACTTTTATAAAGAAATTAAAATCTATCAGTCAGCTGATACTCTGTAACAGTGTAATAACATTTCTTATATAATAATTCCTTTAGAAATTTGGTAAACCTCAAGTTATTTGTTCAATTCTTCAAATTTTCAGGTAATTTATTATATATTTTTATGGAGGAGGTCAATGGTCCCGATTGATGCAACTTTTGTCTGGATGTAGGTGGAATCAGTTGGTTTCTACGAGAAGGTCTTAGTGAGTAAAGCAGCACAGTAACGGAATAAGTTGTTTTGTGATTTTATTACAGACTATGTCGGTAGGCCCCTCCTCAATATGGAGGGGTTGGGAGTTTTATATTGTTTTGTCAAGTATGTTTGGCTCACAAACACATCAAACTATTTGGGGTTGAATTAAGTTTTATAAAACAAAAGATTTAATTAACATTTACCAAAAGCTTCCTTCTGCTTAGTCAAGTCCCACAGTGCTAGTTCATGACCTGATGCAACATGAATTAGTCCATCAGCGACAGGGTGGAAACCTACATTCTCTACTCTCCGTTGCTTCTGAGACAGTGAACATTCAGGTGTCGAGATAGATTCTTTCAGGCCTTCTGGGGGTATGTGCCAGACTTTCACCTAGAAATTAATTTTTTAAGTAAAGGGGGAATGCAAAATGAAGACATAAGAGCTGTAATCAAGCTTCATATCAAACTCAAGACATTGTTATTTCCTATAATTGACAGACATAGACGCAGTTTGGATGTATTAAAACCAAAAATATAATAATATTATTCTAGGCCTGTCCTAGCTATGCACTGCTGTAAATTTGTTTTTTTATTATTATTTTTATATTTTTTATTATTATTATATATATTCAGCCTTAAGCCTTGTAGATGTTTTTTAATAGCCTCTGGTATAATAATATATTAATCTGAATGGATCAAATCAGTATTTAACAAAACAAAGAGTGAGAACTGTTAATTTAATCAGTAAAATGTCTATGAGTTAATTCTACAAGCAGCTTTAATGAACACATTAATACTAGAAAGGCAATCTTTCCTATGCTTGACTCAACATATAGGTTAACAAAAATTACATTAAATCTGCTTAATTAACAGAGACAGACACAATGAATTGAATGATTCAGCATTTTCAATATTTTTAAAAACCCAATTAGTTATTACTATATAACTAAAACAAAATATTAATTTAATGTGACATTTAACATGAAACCATTTTAAACTTTTAAAAGTTATAACAATATTGTTTTCTGCAATAAAATAATACATAAGCCCTATATTTTATTTATTATATATGTAAGAAACCTACCAGAGAATCCTGAGAGCCAGTTAAAAGTATTCCATCATGGAAGGGCGAAAAATCCATATCAGTTATGGTGTCTGAATGAGCATGAAGCAGAGGTATTGTCTTGCTCTTTCTCCCACAATCATCTAAAGGCAATACTGCCATACTCGACCCTACATGCTCCCAATTGAAAGCCATAAAAGATGCTGAGGCACATATGTTGTTTCCATAAGTCTGGTAAGAACCAACACATACATCCCTTACACATGCTTCTGGTTTGGGCACTATTGGAGCTGCATTTTTATATTTCGAAGCTTTAAAACGCCAAGCCATTTTAATCCAATTTTATTGTTCAGTCTTTTTAGAATGTGAACCTTCGCCACGGCGACTGCCTAAAATTAAAAAAAATTAAACTTCCATGGATATCATTTACGCAACACATCTTGATAAATGTAATATTAAGTGTATGACATATTTATTCATGATTTTAGACCATTAACGGGGCTTACTTTAACTCAAAAGAACACTTCCTTTTACTTCATTAAATACAAACTCATTTTGTTTTGAATTACCAGACCGGGTTTCGGCCGGAAGTACTATTGTTACGGTAAATTTAAATTAAATTAAGCAACAATTATTTAAAGTCAATAATTATAGTAAAAAACAAATACATTAACTTACCTTATTTTAATCTAATATCAATTACAGTTTAGATATTATGTATCTTCGAGACACTCCCCCTAAACGTCGGCCATTTCAATAATAACAACCAGAGTGTAGCGACATTACAATAGCGACTAACGAAATACCGATCGATATCCCATTTCAGACTGTCAACGTCAAAGTCACAACTATAGACTATATTATATATAATATACATATTATGTATAAATATAATTTTTTTACATAAAAAGATACATTCATATTTTGTTTTTCGGTGCTTATCTTTTTTTTTTTTTTTTTTTTTTTATAGAACGGGGGCAAACGGGCAGGAGGCTCACCTGATGTTAAGTGATACCGCCGCCCATGGACACTCTCAATGCCAGAGGGCTCGCGAGTGCGTTGCCGGCCTTTTAAAAATTGGTACGCTCTTTTCTTGAAGGACCCTAAGTCGAATTGGTTCGGGAATACTTCAGTGGGCAGCTGGTTCCACATAGTGGTGGTGCGCGGCAAAAACTGCCTTGAGAAACGCTCAGTTGTGGAACGTCGGACGTCGAGGTGATACGGGTGGAATTTCGTATTCTGCCTCGACGTCCGATGATGAAACTCAGCTGCAGGTATTAATCCGAACAACTCCTCTGAACACTCTCCATGGTAAATGCGGTAGAAGATGCAGAGTGACCCCACATCTCTACGCAACGCCAAAGGATCAAGCCGCTCGGAGAGGGATTGGTCGTCAACGATTCGAACCGCTCTGCGTTGTATACGGTCAAGTGGAAGGAGCTGGTACTGGGGAGCCCCCGCCCAGAGGTGAGAGCAGTACTCCATGTGGGGCCGAATTTGCGCTTTATATAGTTGCATGCGGTGGCCCGGAGTGAAGTACCGTCTCGCCTTACTGAGCACACCAAGCTTTTTGGAGGCTAATTTAGCCTTTCCCTCCAAGTGACCGCGAAACTGAACGTCGCTCGATATGTCAACGCCAAGTATTCCAATGCTGGCTGTGGCTTTAAGAAGAGTGTTTTCGAAAAGAGGAGTAGCGACAAAGGGTGTTTTTTTAGCGGAAAACGCGCAAACTTGTGTCTTCTTGGGGTTAAATTGGACTAGGTTTTGTCTGCCCCAATCTGAGACTCCACGAAGTAGAGTTTCAACTTCAGACACAAGTTTGTTCCGGTACTCATCAACAACTGCCCGAGAAATACCTGCCCGGCCAGTGTAAAAAGTATCCCCAGTACTGTCATCCGCATAGCAATGAATGTTGCTAAGTTTCAACATATCATTGATATGCAGAAGAAATAGGGTCGGGGATAGAACACAGCCTTGTGGGACCCCAGCGTTTACGGGTTTTAGGTCGGAACATGCTCCGTCGATGACGACCTTGATGCTCCGATCGGCCAGAAAGCTGGAGATCCAATTGCGTAATTTCTCGGGAAGCCCATAGGCTGGAAGCTTCGAGAGCAGTGCTCTGTGCCACACCCGATCGAAGGCTTTCGCTATGTCCAAACTAACCGCTAGCGCCTCCCCCTTGGACTCAATTGCCTCTGCCCATCTATGTGTAAGGTATACAAGAAGGTCACCAGCCGAACGACCACGACGAAAGCCGTACTGATAATCGCTAATCAGCTGGTGGCCCTCTAGATACCTCAAGAGCTGGCAATTAACAATGGATTCCATTATTTTGGAGAACAAGGAGGTTATAGCTATTGGGCGATAGTTGGACGGATCAGAGCGATCGCCTTTTTTAGGGATCGGATGTATCAAAGCGGTCTTCCAGCACTTCGGGACAGTGCCGAGCGAGTACAGGTACCGGAAAAGGCGCGTTAAGACCGGAGCCAACTCAGGAGCACAAGTACGCAGCACAATTGGGGGGATACCATCCGGCCCGCTCGACTTATGAATGTCCAAGGAAGATAGTGCTTTGCGGACAGCACGTTGCCGGAATGTGATTTCCGGCATCGAAGAATCACACCGCGAAATGGTCGGTGGTGATCTCCCTCGGTCATCCAAAGTCGAGTTAGACGCGAAGAGACAGCCCAAAAGGTCAGCCTTCTCCTTCGCAGTGTGGGCCAGAGAGTCATCCTCCCTATGCAGTGGCGGAATGTGGCGGAATTATCTTATCTAATCTGTAAGTGTAATATTTTCTCTATAAGTGTCTGTAATTATAAGACGTATTGTTTTTGTAAGACGGTCGCTGTCAAGCAAAATTTACATAATTGTATTTAGTTAGTTCTTGGGCTTGAGAAAAAACCCCTTTACCACAGGCGTGACCCACTACCGATAACGGTGCGATAACGATGCACCCGAATCTGATGATACTGATTATGCAGGAGTCTTGGGTGACCTTCATTGGAACACCTCCAAGTGATTTTAGCTGCCGGAAATGCGTCAAAGCGAAGCTTCGGCGACCAAATATTCATATACTAACCTAACCTAACCGATATAAATAATAATTGGTTTTTTGGACAGCTCCGGAGCTACGGTAAATGCAGCCCCTCCACCCTTGCGTACCAAAGCACAGGCATTTTATTCAAGCCTCCGCAACCTCGGCTTTATGGTCGCCTTCGGCGACCAAATATTCATATACTATCCTAACCTAACCGATCTAAATAATAATTGGTCTTTTGGACAGCTCCGGCGCTACGGTAAATGCAGCCCCTCCACCCTTGCGTACCAAAGCACAGGCATTTTATGCAAGCCGTAGGCGACCAAAAAGCCGAGGTTGCGGAGGCCTTAGCCGCTACGGCTTGCATAATGCCTGTGCTTTGTTACAGCGGGTGGGGGCTGCTCTTCCTCCGCGCCTCCGATTATTTATATACACTCTAGGGGTAAGGCAGACAAGACCACGTGGATAGTGGGGTGCTCTGATTCGGTTTTGGGTGTAGTATACCGAAGCACACTAGTGGGGGTCAGTCGACTGCCTACCGCCGTGGCGTGCGGACGTTACTTGAGTTCTGGGATCGTACCGCTTATAAAGTGTACCTATCGGTGGTGTTTCTGAGTATTTTACAAGTGGCGACGAGGATGGGATGTGAGTTTTGAAAGACATAAGGAAACATGGTATGTAAGGAAGGAACGCGTGTGAAAGAGAAATGTAAGTTTGTTTTTATATAATGTTGGACCGTGACTGTTGTATCAGTTTTTTATATTGTCAACAATCGAAAAGGTTTCATAAAATAAGTACCGGCCAACCTGCCAAACGAAATAATGCGCGTTAGTAACAATGAGTCACGAGTTTGCACCTGTGTGTTGCGCTTGTTGTTTTTATTATATTGTTCACAATTTGATAATCGCTTTTATTATATTATAAAAGGAAATAAAACAAACAAGCGCTGCTACAAGAAGGTGTTGACTGAGTGTCATAAAATACCAAATATGTTAGGTATATATTTGGGCCTGATTTTGTATTTCTCATACAGTCTCAGTTAGATCTCAGTCATCTAGTTACAGTTAGTATGGTTGGTTGGTCAGTTTGAGAGACCAATGTTTTGCTATCACGGCCAATATGATAGGTCTTGACGATTAGTAGATAGCAATAGTTAGATCAATATGAAAGATCGATGTTTTGAGAGGTCAATTTGAGAGACCCATGTTTTCTATCACGGCCAATAAGATAGGTCTTTACCATTAGAAGCCATGATCAATATGAAAGATAGTGGTTTTGTAAGGTCAATATGATAGGCCAAAACGTTCTTAAAGTCAATAAGATAGACTAAGAGAATGGTGTTAAGGTCAATATGATAGGCCAAAACGTTCTTAAAGTCAATAAGATAGACTAAGAGAATGGTGTTAAGGTCAATATGATAGGCCAAAACGTTCTTAAAGTCAATAAGATAGACTAAGAGAATGGTGTTAAGGTCAATATGATAGGCCAAAACGTTCTTAAAGTCAATAAGATAGACTAAGATAATGTTGTTAAGGTCAATATGACAGGCCAAAACGTTCTTAAAGTCAATAAGATAGACTAATTCTGAGTACATGCTTTAAAGTCAATTTGATAGACTACTTTTATTAGTAAGGTTTATTAGATTAGACCGTATTTGGTTTAGTGACAATAATCATTGATATTGAGATCAGATTATTGTGCAAAGTATGCGTGATGAATGTTTCGTAAATAAAGAAGATATATTTATACGGGTATAAACCTGTAGGTGATTAGTTAACGTGTCGTAATGATACAGTGATGTGTTCTGACAAGAACAGATCAGAATAGATACGGTCGTGTGTTCTGAAAAGAACAGTTTCATCGTTGTCGTAAGACACGGTAATATGTCCTGAAAAGGACAGTTGTTAAACGTTTTCGTAAGATACGATAATATTGTTCTGAAAAGAACAGTTTATTAGCGTTATCGTAAGACGATATCGAAGTGTTCTGTGAAGAACACGTTCGTACGTTTCGATGGCTGCGCGCAGAAAAGGGTAAACTTTTTGCCGCGCCGCGTTTTTATCGCCTGCCCTGGTACCTGCGCAACCAATCAACCCTCCGCATTTTGGCACCACATGTTACTACTATTTATCACTCCGATATGGCTCAGATAACATCAGTGTTTCCAGGCCTTGATCATTTTGAGTGCGAAGGCAACCAAGTCTCAGTAGGAATCCGTTGGGAAAAATGGAGAAGAGCACTAGACATATAATTTTTGGTCGCTAATATTGATACAAGCATTAAAAAGCGAGCT